ATATATATATATATGATAGTATATAATAGTTTAATAATTGTCAGATTTGGATCGGATCCACTTGTATCCAAATCCGATCTAAATTAGGGTCTAAATTTTGAATTCGAATCTGACCATTCGAATCCAAATCTCAGATCCATACCCAAATTCAGATAGTCTAAAAGTCAGGTTTTGAATCCAAACTGGATAAATTCTCAGCCCTATTCTATCCCATTCTCTCGCTCATGGTATTCGCTTTTTGTGCCTTTGTTTCTCTCTCTCTGGGGTTCTCAACATTGGTGTATTCGAGGGTATAGTACATTCCCTTAGGACGTATTTGATAACTGGAAGCAAAAACACGAACTGGAAATTGGAAGTTATCGAAGAATTATAACTTTGTAGTTCCTGAAGAAGTTCATGGTTTCTATGTTTGATAACATCCCTGTGAAATTAAAAAGTTCCTGATTTTTATGTTTGATAACCTCTTGAGAAGTTAAGAAGTTCCTAGTTTCTGTGTTTGATAACCTCCTAGGAAGTTAAGAAGTTCCTAGTTTTGTATTTGATAACCTACTAGGAAGTTAAAGAAGAATCGGGTATCTGTATTGTATTAGCTTAAGTAATAGGCAAGATGTAAATGTTAAAATTGAGACATACATATTATTATTTTTTATTAATTTGTAGAATATTATTTTTGGAATACAATATCAAATGAAAGTGAAGTACAATATTATTTTTTGGTAATAACTTGAGGGAAAGGTTTCTATACTTTCCCTACAATATAGAAGTTCTATCCTCCTCCTACCATCCAGCCGTCCAATTCTCTACATTATAGAAGTTCTATCCTCCCCCTACCATCTAACCGTTCAATTCCAGACATACATAATTGAAAATGCAACCATTAAGAAATCAACCCATTCAAACACTCATACACAATATAAGCAGTAAAAAATCCGCCCATTCAACAATCACGTGCAATAATTTAAGCACTACTTATATTCACCGTTGATGCATCTATATCTCAACCCACATCATATATGTCATTCACAATTCAAAAATATTAATATACGTCATTCAACAATAACATGTAATAGTTTAAACCAGTGTTTCAAAAATAGTAGATCCGATCGGGAATCGAGCAATCCGGATCGGGTATCTGTGATACTGCTCCAAATGCAGTATTGGTAACACCTGGTGGTTCCTACTTTTTTATTTTTCAATCCGGCTCTCTGTTTTTGCACCCTGGTTTTTTTGAAATGTGATTAACAATTTTCATGCCAGCTGGCACTTCACACCTTCCTCCCTACACCGGATTGAACCTTCCTCCCTACACATGATTGACAATCCTTCCTTCATGCCAGCTTAAAAAGCTTCAACAGCCGAATTGGGTATCGGTGATACCATCACCGCTCCAAATGTAGTAACCTTCCTTCATGCCAGCTTAAAAAGCTTCAACAGCCGGATCGGGTATCGGTGATACCATCGCCGCTCCAAATGTAGTATTGGTAAAACCGGGTGGTTCCTACTTTTTTATTTTTCAATCCGGCTTTTGTTTTTTGCACCCTTGTTTTTTTAAAATGTGATTGACAATTTTCATGCCAGCTAGCACTTCACACCTTCCTCCCTACACGTGATTGACAATCCTTCCTTCAAGCCAACTGGCGTTGTTGAAGCCCTACACGTGATTGACAATCCTTCCTTCAAGCCAGCGTGCAATACGTATGCTTCACATGGCCAAGACAACATTCAATGTAGCTTGATCGTTGGGTTCTTTTATAAGATTCGTTCGTCTCACATCGCTTCGACGTGGGATATATCTGTGAGTTGAAAAAAGGCTGGCAAATATTATTAGCTTGGGATAAATTGGAGTGAGATGGTGTACGCGTGACGGTGTATGTCCGTCATGAATAAGAAAGTTGTATGTCCTATTGTGGCAAGGAAATTTGAAGATAAAAAAAGAAAAAATTTATTAAAAATAATAATTGGGTGCCCATCACCCCTATCTTTCACCAAAAAAATTTAAATTTGCTTACCAAAAAAACATAAAAACTATATTAAGCTATTACATCATGGCATTATTTCATTATATGAGTAATAATTAATTAATTAGTTAATTAGGATTAAAAAATTAGTACTAGCTCATAGGATAATAAAAATAAAATAACAATAATACCATTTCTATTCTATTGAATATTAAAAAAAAAGTTTAGAGAATATTTTAAGATTGAAAAATAACACTAACTCATACCACTTTAGAATTTATTTCAAGATGCTTTATCAATTATCCCACATTGTAAATATAATTTTTTTAATTTATTAATAACTAAATCTTTTATATTATTTATTAATTTATTTATATTATAAATTTTATAATATATTATTTTTTCTTATAATTGTAAATAAGATTTTTTAAATTAGATGATATATAAGACATTTTATATTTTTATTTGTATAGTAAAATAATTATAAAATATAAAGTTAAAAACTAACAACCTCAATTTCCATATATATTATTATAGTTAGTTAAGTTGTAATAATTTTGGATAAGTAAAATAAATTAATAAATGTTTGATACTTTGATGTGATACTAATTTATGTGGGACTTCTAATATGGAAGTGTTTGTAACTAGTTACCTCACATTGCAAGTATGAATTTATTTACTTACTTTTAAATTTTATTAAAATATTATTGTAAATTTATATTTCTAAATTCTATATTTCTATCCAAACTAATTGTTATATAATAGGTTTATTTATTTGTGAGGGTCTTACCCTTGTTTTTTTAATAACGTTTATTATAATATTATAATTAATAATTATACTAATTACAATGATAATTAAGTCTTATATTTTATTTATTAATTTATTTATTTTAATTATACAGACATCCAGATAGAAAAACAACATCTCAATAATCACCTATTTTTATAAAGTAATGAAAATGCATAATGCACCACTCCTAAATTCATTTACAAATTAAAATATTATTATTTTTAGATATTTATAGTTATTTTTTAAAGATTTTTTGAGACAAAAATTGTCGATTCACCCGATTCCCGATCCGAAATGCCGATTCATCGGTCCGAATGGGTTTTTGGGGTGCCCGATCCGGGGCACCGATCTATTTTTTAAACCGCTGTTTAAACATACATAATTGAAATGCAACCACTCTCGTTGTGGTCACAACTATCTCATAAGAACAAAAGTGAGGCCATAACCAAATTCCAACAATATAAAGCGGAAGTTTTCTAGGTTGAACCATCAAAAACCTTAGATCGGATAGGGGTGGGGAATACAACTCTCAAGGCTTCCAAGATCTTTGTGTCCAATATGGGATTGTCCATCAAACCGCGATGCTTTACTCACCTGAACAAAATGGGGTTGCCGAGAGAAGGAATAAGACCCTTGTTGAGATAGTGCAAAGTATGATGAGTACCGCTAATCTTTAATTAGATTTTTGGGAGAGGCGATTCTAACAGCCACATATGTCCTTAATCGGACTCCCACCAAAGCAATTCAATCAACTTCTTACCAACTCTTCATGGGCCGACCTCCCTCAATAAAGCACCTCAAGGTTTGAGGATGTTCGGCCCATGTTCTCATACCATCCCAAAATAGGTCCAAACTTAATCCTAAAACCATAAAATGTGTTTTCATATGATACTCAAGTCATAGGAAGGGATTTGGATTTTATAACCTCTTGAATCGTAATATGATTGAATGCTTTGATGTCCATTTCCTTGAAGATGAATTCCTTAAAAGAGAATCAACCCAAAAGAGAGTATACTTCCATGAGCTTTAGCTTAACAAAGAAATTGAAACCATCCCACTTAGGCGAAGTGAGAGAATAAGGAGATCACCTGCATTTTTCACTTACCTTAGGGAGGACTATGAGAGGATTAATGATGAACTCGATGATGAATCTTATTCTTACCTATATGCTATGCCTTGTTTGGATCATAAGTTATGGAAAAAAGCCATGCAAGATGAGATAAATTCAATCATAAAGAATCATGTATGAGTTAGTCCACTTACCACCAAACCTTAGATCCATTGGATGTAAATGGATATTAAAAAAGAAACTTAACTCCAAA